GTGAAGAGTAAATAAATGTGAAAGGCCTTGAACAGTTTGGCATTGTCTCTGTACACCAGCTTTCCTTTAAAGCTGTAAACGGGTGAGAGGAAACAAATAATGATAACAATAATAGCAATAATCATTTTAAACGTTAGTACATGTTCAAATTTCTCATGCTTAATCCCCAGGACTTTGGTTGGGCAAGCAGGAGTTGTGAACCTCCATTAGACCCATTCAGGCACTATTGACAGTGGTTGTGAGCAAGCAGCCAGCTGGCTTGGAGAACCTTCTCGGTAACCAGAGCTCTTCCTCTCTCCCTATCCGAATTCAAGTTACCTTTTCTGATGTGAGAATTATGAACAAGTATTTCTACTTGTAAGTCTTCATGAAAAGAACAGGGATAACAATACCTTTTTTCTAGTATTGTTATGGAGACCAAACATGACAAGGGACATAAAGGCTTAGTCTGGCATGTGGTGAGCACTCAGACCAAGATATTTAATTCTCTTTAAAAATTAAATATTTTTTCCTTTGCTCCAAGGCAAAGATCTGTACGACTTCTGGACTTTTTTTTTTTTTTTTTATAACTCCCTAGCCTGAAAGAGAATGAAGGAACCATACATTGACCCTCTCTCAGTCAGAAGGCACCATACTGGAAGTTTCCAGAAAATAGTTATGAGGAAAACATTAGAATTCTTGAATAATCATTGTGGGCAGCCATACAAAATGAAAGCCTTTTCTCTTAAAGGTAGAACAAAGAGGTGTTTTTTTAATTACAATTTTGAGTTAGAAATAAGAGGCGTTCTCTTTCAAGTTAAGCATAAAAGATGAATATATTCTAAAATAAATGCCACTTTAATTTACCACGTGTAGCCTATTATACATACTTTGATTAAAGAGGTGCATCTTGAATAAAATCCTATAACCTAAATTTAGTAAGTGAAAAATGATCAACTAATAAAATAGGAATAAGAAAAATAATTAGAAGAAGGGAATTAGTTTCTGTAAATGTTTTTATTTATTTTTGAGAGAGAGAGAGAGAAAGAGAGAGAGAGAGAGAGTATGAGTGGGGAAGGAGCAGAGAGAGAGAGGGAGACACAGAATTTGAAACAGGCTCCAGGGTCTGAGTTGTCAGCACCGAGCCAAATGTGGGGCTCCAAGTCATGAACCGTGAGATCATGACCTAAGACAAAGTCAGATATTCAACTGACTAAGCAACCCAGGTGTCCCAAAAATTACTCTTAACTTGGGAAACATCTCAATATCATTTTGTGCCCAATAGTGGGGCAGAAAACAGACATACATATATTTACAAACTGGGATGTGTCACTGGCTATTATTAAAAGGGAAAACAATAGCCCTAGTAATTTTCACAAAGAGCAAGTATATTACACTCCCTATAATTATGCATTTTTTAGAAAATTAATAACATTAGAGTAGGTAAAAGCAAGTAAACAAGGGAAGATTTCATTGTTTCAGAGTTTACTATATATTAACCACTCTGCTAAATGCTTTGTAAATCTTGGTTGTTTTATTCTTGCAACATTGCTCTAAGTTGGATAGTCTCATACCCTTTTTACCAACTAAGATATTGAGGCTTTAAAAAATTACCTGTTTTGCTCCAGCTCAAAGAACTGATAAGCAACCAAATTGGAATGTGATTCCAGTTTTGGTTTGTATGACTTGAAACCTCATAAAATTTGAAAACCAATATCATCACTTCTCCCTATACTCAAACTTGACTTTGGGATTCCAAGCGAGGGTGCACCTATATATAGTGTGATAACTTATCTGGACTCTCACAGTCTTTTCTTGGGTACAACATGGGCTTTTCTTGACTCCTCTTGACGCCTTTTCTTGACATCTCTCCTCAAACTGCTTTCCACTTAGTTTATCCTTGATTCACTTTTCCCCTGTTCAGGAACATCTCTTTTGAATCTTGCCTAATGTTCTCCCCTGGTTAGGTAGATGTTCTCTTAAATATCCAAATGACCCACTATGCCTACCTTTCTCGTTATAACCATACCAAAGGACAGGGGCACGTTTGCTTCTTTGTCTTCCTCATGAGATTCCTTGAGAAGAGCCCTGCTGAATAGATCTTTACAATCCCAAGAACATCTAGAACCTAGTCTATACTCATTCGATATTAATGAGTTAATACATGTATTCCTTGACTTAAATATTTCTAAAAGTACTTTCTAAAACAGAATATATAAAGATTGTCCTGACATGTTGGACTTGTGAAAATTATGGAAAATGGCAGACTATTGCATATATTTTATTAGGGCATTTTATTTATATTTTTACAGTTACTCCCTGTCTGAATTCAGTTTTATCTTCATTTCATAGATGTGTAAACTAAGGCTTAAAACTTAATAACCTGGACTTGGGTTGTACTGGCTCAGGTATACGGCAACAGAAAATTATATATTATTATTATTACTGCTATTATTACTATTACTATTATTATTATTGTTATCATTATTATTATTTAAGGCATCCCTTGGGATATTATGCAGTGGGGCTGGCTGACTTCCCTGGTCTTCTTGGATCTTGCTGTTGAAATATTCTATCAGTTTGGCAAAAGGTTCTGACATGGGCTGGAGGTGTGTTATTTCTAGCTCCCTAAAGCACTACCCACTGCTTTCCAAGGTGGCTTTCCTTGGACAGTTCACATGCTGGTCATGATAAGGGCAGGTCACAGATCATGAATCCTCACAATGTAACCTGCACAACTCTATCAGGTGGTAGCTGTTTTAAACACGCACAGAATTGTGACCCAACAATATAGTCTACAGCTGGAAACAGTCCAGGTTCCGTCAAAAGGAGCATAAATAAAGGGGACAAATGACTGATAGGTGCAATTACATGGGATGCATCTCAAAAATGTTACTAAGCAAAAGAATTGCATAGGTTTCCCATTGCTGCTGTAACACATTGCCCGTAACCTAGCAGCATAAAACAAGGCAAGTGTATTAATGTAACATTTTTGAAAGTGAGGAGTCCAAAATGGGCCTGGCCAGGCTAAAGTCAATTATGTCAGCAGATGTGTTCCTTTCTAGAAGCTTTAGGGAAGAATTAATTTTCATGCCTTATCTAGCTTCTATATAGGCTTCCCAGAGATCTTGGCTTGTGACCCCCTTCAACCTTCAAAGCCATCAGTGTTTGGTCAACTCTTTCTCATGATTCTATTTCTTTGATTTTGACTTCTCTGCCCTCCTCTTCCACTTTACCCCTGTGATTACACTGTGCCCACTTAGATGATCCACGATAATTTCTCTATTTTAAATTCACCTGATTCACAGCCATAATCCCACCTGCTACTTTAATTCACCTTTGCCACCTTGCCATGTAAAATATAATGTTCTCCATTTTGATAGGGACTTTTGCTACATAGGTATGTAAATGAGCAAAAACTCAACTTATATACATATGTAAATGTTTTATCATATATAAATTTTACCTCAAAAAGAAAACAAAGATCCAAAGTGCTGGAGACCCACTCCAGCCGGTCCAGGGGTCCCCAAAGGATGGATGGTGTCTGCGAGAGAGTGAGAGAGCCACGAGAATCTTTCTGATCACCAGGCAGGCATCTCTGTCATGTCGGTTTTGGTGTCTTTATTTATAAGTCAAATGATAACGTGAGATCAGAAAAAGGAATTTTTACAATGGAAAAATCTTTGTGATAAGATGCTTTGGAAAGTGTACAAAAACAGGTTTTATAGAAGTATTCTTGCAGAACTACTCCAATCAAAGTGAGGTTTAGTAAATCTTACAACTAAGGAAAATAACAGGATTTCTTAGTGAACAACAGGTTAACATACATATTTGCTCTAAGTTAATAACACTAAGATTAATTCATAGATTAAGTTGTATATAGATAGGCTAGGAGTCATTCTGTCTGCCTCACGAGAGGACCAATGTTTTGAACTGGTTAATAAGTTGTTTGTGGAAACCTTTTTGACCTGATGCTGAATGTGTAAATACCATGGAGGCCCTAAATGTGTCGGCCTTTGTTTTTGGGTTATGTTTTAGCTACTCTTATCTATCCGCATCCCAGCCGCCAGTGTAAGGGAGGGTGTTTGCGGAAAGTAAGCCTTAGGAAAGGGACTGCCATACATCACCAGTTAGAAAAAGTGTAAGTATCAGCTTAAGTTCTGCCCTTATCTGTTCCTTAACTCTAGATTAGGCTCTTTGTCTCGGGGCCAGTCTCAATTGTAACTCTTGTGTTCTTAACCCCCTTTACTATCTAAGTCTTGGGTCTACAAGGCCCATAGTAAGAGCCTTTTGACAAACATCTACAGTGCTTTCATCTAAAATCTCTTTAGTTGAGACAGGAATATGCTTTTCCTTATGAGCTATTTATGTGGGGAATATCGGTCTGATTTGGAATATTGTGAGGCCTGGTCAATACCAGCAGCCTCATTTCCAACATGAGCCAGTAGTAGCAGAAGGAGATACCAGTTTTCGTTTCTCATGGCAGGAGCTGTGCAAACGCTGCCATTTCCTCATTGTGACTCTCATCCAGCAAGGCTGGTGCGGCTCCCAGCACCAAAGCAAATAACAAACTCTATAAATGATGCCTTTGAGTACGTATTTAGAGGAAAGTTCACTAATGTCTGAAAATTGCTAAGAAATACATTGATATTTGACTTAATGGACAAGGAGAGAGATGGATGGATAAATAGATATGTGGTAAACCAACTACAGTAAAATGTTACTTTTAGGTGATAGTTGGTTATTTTAAGTCTGGATGGTTACTGCAAAATTGTTTCAATTTTCTGTGATTAAAAATGATCATAACAAAATATAGGTGCACCAATACATGGGGTTGAGGTACGGAGCGTCTGTAATAAATAGATCTGTATCATACTCTGGCTTATTCTCTCTATTCTCCTTCCAGACACAGAGGCTGGATCTCATTGCAACCTTCAGACTGGGAGATGGACTCATCCTTAACTGAGTTTAAGAGCTTACTTTGATCACAAAAGACTCTCTTACTAACTTCTAAACTTAGATATTGAGAGACTTTGGAAAAAGAAGTTAACTCCATTCTCATCCTGACCCCATACAAGGCTTCCTGGACAAAACTCTAGTGCTTTCAATGCTTAGCCCTGGTGAGATAGTGTGTGTGCATGAGGTTGGTAGGGATGGTGGTGGAGTTATGGGGGCAGGTGCATATCGATAGTCAGGAATTTATTATAAATATATATTATAAATATAATATATATGTATCATATATAATACAATTATATATAATGTATTAATATATACTATATAAAAATGTATTATATAGAGTATATATTATATATCATGTATATACTATAAATACATATATACATGTATATACATATAAATGTATATAAATACATTTATATATAAATGTATTACATATATTATATACTATGTATATTCCTGTGTATCCATATATATATCCCTGTACTCTGTATATAATATATAATATAATATATACTATATATATCTCTCTGTATATATATATATATATATATACACTATATATATATACCTGTACTCTGACTAAAGGAAGCTATACTAAAACTGATCCCCCTTACCCTCCAACAGAGAGGCTGTGTCCAAGAGGAGAAAACAGAAACCCATTGTCTAAACAGTGATAAAAATCCCCGTCACTTTAATCCATCCGGCTGCTTTGAAGCCTGCATGTAAAGCCATTCATTTGTCACATTAGGCTCTAGCGGAGCGTGTGAACAGCCGTTACACTCTTATGAAGGCTGCTGATCCTTTACCTTATTGCAACCCGCCTGGTACATTAGAATATGCCCTTTGAAAAAATTCTGAAAGGTGCCCTCAGCTTCAGAGCACCTCCAGTTACTTTCCACATTCCAAGCATTCCCCTTGTCTCGTGGATGTGTGCAGGCTTTTTTATATGCACACAGCTGCTCATTATGTATTTATGGGTGTTCTCCATAGGCTGACAGTGGGACTACTTCCCATCTTTAAAAAGAAAAAAAAAAAAAAAAAAACAGAGTTGTACTGTTTATACACAGAGTTTTAAAGCACATTTACTCTAACTTGTGAGGATTCAAGATGTGATCTCTGGCCCCTCAAAACTCCAGTCTCAATTAGGCACTTTATGTGGAAACTACAAGGTCAGGAACACAGGGCTTCTTAAAACCAAATTCTAATTTGTCTGCCACTGCAGCTACATGCATTTCTCCTTCCCGGCTCCTCCAGACTATGACAGACTACAATAACCAAGATAACATCACTGCTAATAAGATGGGCCTTTTCCCTTGACACTGAGCTTAAGCAACTCTCCACACTGAGGATAAATTCAGTACTTTCATATGAAAACTCAGGGCTGGTGCAAGCACCGCCTCAGTGTGTCCCTCGTGATGCTTCCCCCGGCAGTTGTTCATGGATGATAAATTGCTTTGATTCCAGAGATTGGCAATGGCTGCCACTTAAGTTGAAACTTACGAAAACACCAGAACCTACTTTGCTCACATGCAGTTAACGTCTAATTATTCTTTGTTGGCTTCTTCTCTTCTTTGTCCCTCAGTGTTTCCAGCACCATGGTGATATTTTTGTCAGTTTTAACTTACTTCTCTTAATTGACTGAACAATTTGCTTCTATTTCTCATCAAATTCCTTCTAACTGTGCATGTGTGTGTGTGATTTCTTTGGCTGGAACTTTATGGCTAATGAAGTTGTATATTTTTTTCTTATTGTTTACTTCATTAGACAAGCTTAGAACAATCTAGTGGTTGAACTCAAGGCAGACATGACTGATTTTTCCTTGTTATGGAAATATATATTCTATTTAAGTCACTGACTTTTCATTCATTCTTTTATTGATTTTACATTCGCTGTAACCTTTACATATGCACTTGCTGAGTATTTTCAGAAATCTATCAGTCCTTTCAGTCATATTAACAGTAAATGTAAACTTAAATAACTATAGTACTGGATAGAATATGTTATATCATAAAAGGAATAGTTGGTGTCTAAGAGAAATGAATGTGCCATAAAGGAAAAGGATACAGGAGAGCTGATACACAGAATGTGGAAAATTGTGTTTAGGAAAAGTGGGCAGGTATGATTATATTAACTTCCTGCATGGTGCAAATGGGAAGGGCTTCTCATTAATTAGCAACTATTCCTTTAATTATCTCCCATGTACTAACCTCTCATTCCCTCACTCTTGTGTGGAATAACAGGTATACAATAAATATTAGTTATTATTAACCTCCAGTGAATCATTATACACATACTATATTCTGCTGTATAATTTCTGTATTTTGCTGTATTTTCCCTCCAAAAATGCTACCTGTTGGAACATGATAGTTGTATGGGAAAAGATGTCATCTTTTGTGCTACTTAACCAAGTGATTGTATTTTCACTTCACCAATTTCAGGCAGATCCTTTAGCATTGTATCCTCCAATTTTCTCATCTTTAAAACAGGGACACTGCAAGTCTATCTCATAGACTTAGTCTTGAGGAATTATTAGCATGCTGCATAAAGGACTATGACATTCTTGGGACATAATAACTAGTAACCATTTGACATATCAAATGTCTTGTTTTTGGTTTTGTTTTTAATTTGGTGTTATCCTGGCTGTGTGTTATATCTGATTTTGACACATGAATTTTTGCATTTTATTAAAGGTGTATGTTTACTGTGCCAACTATATGTGATTCTGACTTTTCACTCACCATCTTCCTCAAAGATGTCTCCCCAAAAGAAGTGCCTATTTTTTTCCATGTTTTACCCTATGACTTCCCAAGATTCCTCCTAATTATGTGATTGTGGTTTCTTTACCCTTCTGCGTCCTCTAGGACTACAAATTTGTCTCTTCCACTGACTTTCTATCTCTCTTTCTCCATATGCTCAACTCTCTCAGGTGCCAAAATAAATTTTGACCCTCTTCCTTCCTTAAACTGCCCTCCAAGTCTGCTAGCTGCATTCTCTGCAGTATAGGTGACTTGCTTTGCTATGTTTATTCATTTCAGGCTCATTGCTTAGTCTCTTGCAATCCAATTCTGCACCCACTATTCCATTGAAATTGTTCTTACATAATCACTAATAAATACTCAGTGGTCAAATCCCATGGCTTTATCTTGACCTTGTTCTCTTTGACTTTTCAGTCGCTGTTAATATTATGGATCATATTATTTCTTAAAACTATTGTCTTCCTTGCCTTTTAGGACTTTCTATTTAACTGAATGTATCTTCATTCCCACCATCCCTTTTCTCTTCTCTGCCTACCTCTTAAGCCCTAATGGCAGAAGACTTTTATAATTAGATCTACATTAGTCAAGGTTCTCCAGAGAAGAAGAACCGGAAGGACTGATTGATTGATTTCAGAAATTGGCTCATCTGAGTATGGAAGCTTGCAAAGTTCTAAGATCTACAATAGACAAGCTAGAGATCCAGGGAAGTCCATGGTATAGTATAGTCCAAAAGTTGGCAGATTGGAGATGTGAGAAGGTCTGATGTTTCCGTTTCCTGAGAAAGCAGAAAAAGACTGATGTCCAAGCTCGTGTAATCTGGCATGAGGAGTTTCCCCTTACTCATAAGAGAATTAGCCTTCTTAATATTCAGGCCTTCAACTGCTTGGATGAAGACTACCCACATTTGGGAGAGGGGTCTACTTTACTCACTATACCTATTCCAATGTTATTGTTACCCAAAAACACTTGCATAGAAATTTTTTTTGTCCAATATTTGGGTACCCTGTAGCCCCATCACACCGACACATAAAGTTAACCATCAAACTATCCTTGACCTTCTTTTCCCTAAATAATATTTTTCAAGAGAAATCTCCTCATTCACTTTACATTTTAGGGATCCAAACATTGATTTATTATATTCACTTCTTTAAACTTCTGTTCCTTTATCTAGTCAAGTAGTTCTGTCATTCCATGAATCACAAGCCACCATCCATTTCAAACAGACTTCATCTTCTATATAACCACTCCTATCAGTTCTGTATCCATGTGTGGTACTCATCCATTAGAACAGATCTTCACTGCCTTTTACTTCTTAATAATAGCTTCTTAGTTACTGTCCTGGACTACTTAACGCTCCCACAACTTCCAAAATTATCTTATAAAAAGTTTGACTCTTCCTTGATATTATTCTAGGTTCCAGAGAAAACAAGTCAAGAATCATATTTCTGGGTAATCTTGCTTAGTATTGTCACCTGGGGCTTTGGTGAATCATATATAAACTTTCCATGGTGGTATGAGACAACCAATTGCAAAAGAGAGTCCATATCATATTTCAGGAAAGAATACTTAGAAGTAAAAAGGTATAAAGACGTTTTCAAAGAGGACACAAATCATGAGTTCAAATACTTGGGCATATTAATACGTATGAGATGAGTTAAGACAAGTGGATTAGAAATGAGGCTGTGCACAGTGTGGGGGTGTAAAGCATCTACCGTCACATATGTCAGACAGACTAATTCATTTCTTTTGAAATAAAACCCATGATATTATCATGATAAAAATGTATCTTTGCATTTTTACATGGCTGACTTCAAATATTCTACTAGTTGTACCATTTACTAATGAAGACACTTGAAGAAGTTATTTCAGGCCTCTCAGGTTATTTCTTTATCTCTAAAACATAGGTAATAATGTCATTCTTGCCATGTTGTTCTGTAAAACAATTAAAATAGCCTGCATAAATACCACTTCACATCCGTGAGGGTGGCAATTACATGAAAAATAAAGAAACATCAGAAAATAACACATGTTGGTAAGGACATGGAGACTGTGTGCATTGCCGATGGGAATGTAAGATGGTGCCTCCAATATGGAAAATCGTATGGTGTTTTCTCAAAAAATTAAAGAGATAATTACTTTCTGATCTAGCAACTTCACTTTGGGGTACATACTCCCCCAAAAACTGGAAGGCAGAGACTTGAGCAGATATGTGTAAACTAAATTTTAGAGAAACAGTATTCACAGTAACCAAAACATGTTACTGAGCAACCCCAGTCGTCAGTGGATGAATGGATAAACAAAATGTGGTATATACATACAATGGAATATTATCCAGCCTTTCCCCCCCCCTCCCTTTTTTTTAATGTTTTATTTATTTCTAGGAGAGAGAGAGAGAGAGATAGCATGAGCAGGGGAGGGTCAGAGAGAGAGGGAGTCACAGACTGAAACAGGCTCCAGGCTCTGAGCTGGCAGTCAGCACAGAGCCCGACGCGGGGCTCAAACCCAGGAACCGCGAGATCATGACCTAAGCGAAAGTTGGACGCTTAACCGACTAAGCCACCCAGGCGCCCCTATCCAGCCTTTAAAAAGGAGTAGAATTCTGACATAATGCTATAACATGGATGACCCTTGAAGATACTATGTTAAGTGGAATAAACCAGCCACAGAAAGCAAATTCTGTATAATTCCACTTACATGTGGGCCTAGAGTAGTGAGATTCATACGGACAGAAAGTAGAATGGTAGTTTCAAGGCCTGCGGGTGGGGGGAGGATGTTGGGAAGTTTTTGTTTCGTTGGTATAGCATTTCTGTTTCAGGAGATGAAAAGGTTCTGGAGGTATGCACAGTAATATGAATATAGATAATATCGCTAAACTGTATACCTAAAAAGGGCTAAATTTTTTAATGTTATGCTATGTATATCTTACCACAATATAAAATATATATGCTATCTGTACTGCATACAAATTCCTCTGAATGAAGACCCTCATGATTCAGCTTCTGTCTTAGCACACCCTATGGTTATCCTAGGCTTCTGTCATTCTACTCTATAATTTATTCCCTGCATAAGTCATCTAAGTTCAGTTCATAGCTGTGTATATTCTCTCACTTTTTTTTCCTTCATTCTGCTATATTTGTGATCTCTTTCTTCATCACTGAGTTTACCTTTCTGATTCCATGTCCTCTGTATAGCATTTCCAAACAACCCCATTTAAAATCAATTATTCCTTCATTTGTACCCTGTGCCATGTTTACTTATATCTTGATTTATTCTGTATTCATTTTTTCCTCTTGTTATAGATGATTGTTGGCATTTGGTGTCCTCCATCACATGATAAGCTACTGGAATGCAGGGTCTGTCTTCTCCTCCCCCTGTTCCTAGTCATTCAGTGAATATTTGATGTGAAATGAAAGTAGCTCACAGAATAACCCTTGAGATTGGTTCTTGCTTTTCTTTGCTTTGTGAGAGACAGACAGAACTCAAAATAATTAAAGAACGGTTTCTCTGTTTGAAAATGGTTTTGAAACATTTTGCATTTCAATAGATATGAAGATTCTTATTGTTCTCTACTCTTTCTCTAGCTCCTAGACTTTAATAGCATTTACATTAGTGCTACTTGAAGGGCTAAGGGTTGATCTTGTATTTTCCATTTGGAAAAATATGGAGACAATAATATTGTGGCTTCTATATTTCCAAGAATTCACAAAGAGAACAATTTTTCTCAAGTGGATTAGCTAATAATGATTGAGTAAGTGGTAGTTATAAAATAGGCCGACTATTAAAAAAACAGAGATTTAAGGTGAACAACCACTTAACTGGTCTCATTGTTACATAAATTGGAAATCCTATATAGCTAATGATGCATAGCAGAGACACAGGCTTTTTCCTCATAATCTTCACACTCTTTTTAATTATTCTCTGCAAGTTAACTGTACAATGCAGGAGTAAGTTACATTATCTTTAACAATGTGGGTCCTCAAATCTCAAACCTAGTAAAATTGTGGTTCTCGAAATACAGAATGACTGGGTGACTTTCAATAAAGAAATGCTTTGAAGAAGTTCTACTAACTTAAGGGAAAGTCATTGTGTACATTGAGGTATCACTTTCTTTTTGAACCCACAGGTCTGGGGAACTCTCAAATAGTCTCAGATAGCTTCCTATTAAAGAATAGAAAAGCCATTCGAAGCATTAGGGTCTGCCAATTCCATTAGCACCCTCCTTACTAACATGTATGAATGCAGAATCTTTTTTTTTCTTTCTAGACTTCATTGCTGTAATAACCACCCATGTTCTAAAACCTCCTTTGTCCCAATCTTTCTTCCTAGCTCCTTGACTGGTGTCTTCTCATCCTCTGCAAGAGGTACACATTCTGGGACAAGTATCCCCTCAATCTACCCAGCAGTAAGTCAACAATTCTGTATAGCACAGAGTGGGGGCCATTAGTGATTGGGTATAGAAGAGCCCCTAAGCCTCATGTCCCAGATTGACACCGACTCTTAACGACCCTTCACAATGCACTTGAACCACTAAGGGAAAAGAACGACTCTTTTGTCAGGCAATCCATAGTTCAATATTGACAGGAGCATTAGAAGAAATTTCAGATAGCCTATTTCTGCTAGCTAGAAAGTCCTGTAATTGTGGCAGGCAGGGGGCAGAACGCCTTTGGTGGCTGGCAGTGAAAATACTTGATCTGAGCTCTCAAAGCCTTTGTAGATATTTCTATCCAGAGAAGAGCACCAGGGCTGCATTAGCTGAGTCCTTGAGAAGCAATCGAGGAGGAATGCTATTTTCCTTCTGGCTGAGAGAAATGGCAGAGGCTCTTTGCAACAAATGATCATAAATTGCCCAAGTGTCTCGGAGGCAGTGAGAGAGCTTGCATGTTAGAGCTAATGCAAGCTGCTCTCATACTTTTAAGTGGTGCTGGCTACTGGGAGGAAGTAGGGCCTGAGGATAGAGCTACCGAGATGTCTCTGTATGCCCCAAGTAAACGCGATTGAAAGGGAAAGGCTTTCGGCTCTTATGTTACTTTAAAAACGAAGTCTCAATCCTCAATAATCAAATCAAGAGGGAACTAAAACCTGAAATGAAGATCAAGTGAAATTTGGAAATAGGAAAGTGAGAGAATAAACAAGATCCCCAGCCAGAGTTAAGCCTATCTGTTGACGCTGTCTTGTATCCATTTTCTATTCTGTCATTTAAAACTCTGTATAAGGGCATGGAAGTCATATTATAGAAATGTGTAATCAAAAGCATGCACATATTTCAAGTTTAAATTCAGAGAAAACTTCCTGTTCAGCGCTGCTTTAGGCCATTTTGGCCAATTTTGAAACGATTCCAGTACACAATCTAGGTCATCTTTAAACTTCCTGAGCTGCAGTATTCCCTGGTTCTTTGCAAAATCATTCTGTGAGTACACTTCAAATGTGCAGACTTATAGTAAGTGACTTTTGATGGATTTAGATTATGCTATACCTGTGGTTATAAAATTTCTTTAAAAGCTCTGGAGTATCATGTGTGTTTCTAGAATGCACCTGTGAAAACTGGTTCAGCATAACACAGACAGGATTTTGCTATTTCACTTTTTTTTTTTTTGGGAAGCCTAATTGTGTTTATTTTTTGAAATGATTCACATTTAGAAATGTAATAACACATTTTAAAGTAAACATATTCAGTCAAAGGGAAGTATTTAGAAAATAAATATATTTGTAGATCATTGTTACTATGCTGTTTTGTTTTAACATGACAGTAACGATGTTGAGGCTGATAGCATGCAGGTGACTCAGGAATTTTTATAAATGTCAGAATACTCTGCTAGTTATTTATCATAGATTTTATCATTTAATCCCCCAGCATCCTTATCATGATCATTACTCATATTCTTTGAAGAAACTGAGGCTTAAAGAGGATGAGTAAGGTCATACAAAGAATATACAAAGGATGACTGCTTTTAATTCATATTATCATAGTTTTAAGTGCAAAATGCCAAAAAGGAAGGAGGAATGGTGTGAGAGAAAAGGCACTAGTGCTTTATGTTGCGTGATTTAAACTTCCCTCTCATTTCCTAGCAGTGCACAATGAACTTCATTTGCTTTTGAAACATGGTGTTTAATCCTCCTTATTCTGGAAGAAATGCCCTAATCTTCTTTGTTAAAACACCGCTTCTAATTATCAACCATATAGATTAAGTATTGCTTGTTCAACTCATAGCTGCAGGTGTTAGCTTCTAATTGACTTAAGTCCTATTCTCTTGGCTCAAGAGATGGGTCAGATATTTGCCAGAGTTTCAGGTAAAGGAATTAATCTCTCGCCCTTCTTGTGCAAGAACCACTACAATATACGCTGCCAGTCATTGAGTAATATGGTATTAAGTGAAAATATGCTTTATTGGAAATAAAGCAACTCTTTGGACGCAATAGAAGAGTTACTCAAACCTTTCTGTGGCCAAGCTCCCTTATGGCACCTTTTCCAAAGCTCTCAGCAAAATATGGATGCTCTTTCCCGCCTCTTGGATCTAATTGGTTTTAAAACTTGCTTTGGCCAACAGAAGATGAAAGCAGTGATGTTGTACAACTCTGAGACTGAGCCATGTGCCTTCCATTTTCACTATTTTTGTGGAACTCTGCCCTAAGACCTCCATGTAAAGGAGCCAGCTCACTGGCTTCATCACTGGTATATCATCCTCCAAGGAAGAGATCCATGGCTTTCAAAAATAAATAAACTTTATTTTAAAAAAAAAAGGTGGGAGGAGGTGGTGCCTGGGTGGCTCTGTTGGTTAAGTATCTGACTTTGGCTCAGGTCATGATCTTGCAGTTCATCAGTTTGAGTCAGGCTCTGTGCTGATGGCCCAGGGCCTGGAGCCTGCTTCACATTCTGTGTCTCCCTCCGTCTCTACCTGTCCACAACTCATGCTCTGTCCTTCTCTCAAAAATACGTAAACTTAAAGAGAAAGAGACAGGGGTGCCTGGGTGGCTCAGTTGATTAAGCATCCGACTTCGGCTCAGGTTGTGATCTCACGTTTCGTGGGTTTGAGCCCCATGTCGAGTTCTGTGCTGGCAGCTAGCTCAGAGCCTGGAGCCTGTTTCAGATTCTGTGTCTCCCCCTCTCTCTGACCCTCCCCTGCTCACACTGTCTCACTCTCTCTCTCTCAGAAATAAATAAAACATTAATTTTTTTTTTTTTAAAAGAGAAAGAGAGAGAGAGATCTATGGTGTTCAAGGTGTCAGCCAACTTCAACTATGAGACCTGTGTGTCAGGCCATCTTGGAACTTCCAACTCAGCTGAACCTGAGCTTGATGAAGCTGCACTGGAAAGTGCACTAGAGGAACCATGGCCAGCCAACAGTATTGTGAGAAATAATAAGTCATTCTCTTTTAAACCATTTGGTTTTGTGGTGCTTTATTAAACAGTAATAACTAAATGACACTGTCACTTGACTAGGAAGTTGGAAAGACCAGTTAGAGTGATTACAAGGAAAAAGAAAAGATTCCTAGTATTCTTACATGAGTTGTTAAGTCAAGTCTTCCCTGAAGTCTGCCCTACATTTAGACTTAGCATTTATGAAAGCCTGTCTCTCCCCATCACTTGTCTCCCTATCTTGTTTTTGCAGGGGATAAGGATGAGAATGGTTTAAGCCAATTATATTTCATTAAGTTGCAATATTCAGTTAACAAAGTACCTTAGTTACCACACTTTATTGTTGGCTACTTCTTATACACACTCAGATTTGAAGTGATTTTGCCATCTCTGGGTCCATTCATCATCTAAGGGATTAATGGAAAGAACATTATGGAAAGCAAAATTCCAAAGGCAAGATTCCGCCATGTTGTTTTTTTTTTTTGGTTGTTGTTGTTGTTTTTTTTAATGTTTTTTTATTTATTTCTAGGAGAGAGAGAGAGAGAGAGACAGCGTGACCAGGGGAGGGTCAGAGAGAGAGTCACAGACTATGAAACAGGCTCCAGGCTCTGAGCTGGCAGTCAGCACAGAGCCCGATGCCGGGCTCGAACCCACGAACCGCGAGATCATCACCTAAGCGAAAGTCGGACGCCCAACCGACTAAGCCACCCGTGCGCCCCAAGATTCCGCCATGTTTGAGTGAAGCTCCTGAAGCTTTAGTAACATCTTTCCTGTGTTCATTTCTAAAATGAATAAGTCCTTACCTAACTTAACTTGTCTATAATTGGCCCTATAGTGGATGCTTAGGTTATATTTTCCTTTCTCTGTGTAAGAAGGAAGGGCACAGTTCTCAACCTTCAGTCAAAGCTCAGTGCTTCACTCACATGGTAAGGTGGATCCAATATTTATTTGAAATATCAAGCAAAAGGAGGGGACAGGAAAGATGCACTTTTTAGAGACCAGTTGTATTGTAATGTACATGTATCTGTTTCTGAGATATAATTTAAAAGATCTTTAGATCTCTAAATCTCTAGGCTGCATGATATAGATCATCTTTGACACTGAATTCTCACTTTAAATCAGTTCTTGTTATTAGGTATTGGCTTCTAACATGCACCATTTGCAAAACAATCTCTTTAATTGTGACATCAAATATGATAATAATATAGCTTGAGTGTAAAGACAATAACTATCTATCAAAACGGTTAATTCTAAAAGCGGACTAAAGCGATGTTATAAAAATCTAAAGTTTAGTTTTGTTTATAAGAAATAATAAAAATTGAGTGTGGTGTAAATCTTATTGAGCCCTCTGATTAAAAGTTTCCAGACATTCTGAGAGCCATTCATTTACTTATTAAATTTATTGAGTACCTACAATATGTCAGGCCCTGTGCTGAAAGGAATGAGAAATGGTAAATTTTCTCAGGGAGCTCATAATCTCCGGGATGAGCCAGGCAATTTGTCAGGCTGTACAATAAAGTGACTCAGGATGATGAGAAGTGGTTGACAGTGCTGGACAAAGAGGTAGAGTTAATTGAGTATTCTCTCCTCCAAAGGAGATGCCAGGCATGTTGCCTAAACTTGCCACCCTTGTTGTCTTTCTGTCTGCACTGGTAGTGAGGACCCGTTGACAGGATCAAAGTGCATACGAGAGGGAGTCATCAGTGCAAAATACTCAAATCAGGTTCTTTTGTCCTTCTAGGCAACTGGTAGAATGGTATTTCCTGATCGATTTTGGACCAGGTGTGATGAACTGATGACTTCTGGACCATAAATTATGAATGGAAATATGCCATTGTGGTACGGAGCTTTTAACTTCTAGAACAAATCTCTAGAGCTTTCTCCCTTCTCTCTGGCACTGTAACCAGCCATATTCAACATGATGGCTGCTCTGATTCAGAGAAATAAAATCTGCAGAGTACCCCCTGCTGATAAGCAACGGATATAGAGAAGGAGCAAGGTAGCTACCTTTCTTGATGTATCACCATGATTTTTGTGTTGTTTATCACTCGAACATTAACCAGTGCATTCAGACCAAAAGAAATGTTTTTGCATACTTTTATAATTATTTACTTATGCAATTTGCCTACCTAAGCAAAATAAGAGTTACAAAGTGCTTATTCCCAGTTCCTGTCCTTTTTCCCCCAGACTTTCCAAAACACCAATCCCTGCATTGTGAATTCCTTCTGAACAGACCCGTAAAGCAAGAGATTGCACATACATGCATGGCTTGCATGTACATACATACATAGAAATATGCATACATGGAATTTGCTTCCTTCTTTTTATTTAACATACAATTGTCCATATGATGGACTACGAAGGTTTTATGAGTTGTTTGCTGGTTGAAAAACTCTTGACATGACTGGTTTTTGTTGTTGTTGTTGTTCTTGTTATGACTGTTTAAAAAAAGACATTATAGAAGGTTTAATTTAGGACTTTGGGAAACTTATTTTACCTCATATAAGGTTTTTATACTAACAAAAGTATAATTCTTATGAAGAAAAAGAGAAAACAGGAGAAATGAAATATAGGAGACACACTGATCCAAAAATGTTGAAGAAGGGGGTGTCACCTTCCTTCCAGAAATTCTGTATGGTTTTGTGGATGGTGTTTGACTATGTACATACCCCCCTGCCCACCCCCTAAATTTCCCTAGAGACTTTTCCTGTGGAGGCAGATTTTATTTCTAATGTAAGCTTCAATATGAGAGCTTCTCTCCTTATTTCTGAAAGTTCTTGGCCCTCTGTTTACGTAAAGATATTTTAGTGATATTATAAGATGCTATAGCTTCACCTTATACTTATCTGTGATTAATCCTTCTTGGTCTGGAGATGGAATGAGATTCTCTCCCTGAGGATGTGACTTGATGTTTCTGCTGTGTTCATGTAAAATATGATTTGACAACGAAACGTAGCTTAGAGAATAAAAAAATGATGACTGTTCTAAAGGTCTCTTTAGGTAAAAGAAACTAAAATAAGCATTCCATGTGCAGAAAAATTAGGTCTTAAGAAGCTAAACTCCCACACCATAAGCTACTTCTTGAAAATATATAAGGCACATTAGAAGCTGTATTAATTCTTTCAAGATAAATTATTATCTCTTAGCATTAAATAGAGCCCCAAGAGGCCACATTTCTCTCCTACTTATTTTAAAACTAAAAATACAGTTTTTAGAAATAGTTGGGAACATAGATTTAAAGGAAACCTAGAATGTGGCTTTTCCACCATTTATTTTCTGTTTTGAACATAGACACTGAAGTAGTTGTGGTTGTAATTTCACTAAATATATGTATAATTCCCTTAGAACACTTATGCAGTTTGATGGTATGTAGCAAACTATCTTACTTATCTTCCAGTGGTGTTTGGTAGGCGTTTATTAAGCACTTCCTTGACCTAGTACAGGACACTGGGATGGTGACGAGGATGAAAACATGGCCCTTCACTCAAGAATGCAGTCTAGTTGGAACACAATTGCATGAGCAGGGGGTTTGTTGCGATGCACAAAGTCAGTGACTGTACCGCATTCATTCTCTCTATACTTTTCTGAGAAAGGATTTCCTCTTTGTTTAAAGGTGGAGAAATGTGCATATTTTTTAGTACGGTTGTGCGGGATGGATTGGAATTTCACATGCTGCAGCTACCAGAGGAAAAAGAAAATAAATGAAAAAAAAAGTAAAAGAAAGAAAGAAAGTGCAGAGAATTCAGTGGTAGTGCAGAGAATTCAGTGGTAGTACAGAGTAATTGCATTAGATTTTATACCTAAAACATCTTTCTTTGTAGTTGCATTTGAGCTGATTGACTCCTGACCTTTTTGAAAATGTTAATAACAAAAGCATACATGATTACATAATAAAACTTACATTCATTTTTATACACAAAATATTAATCCATATGGTTGACCTGACCTAAATATTGTTAAAGGAATGACTCTGGAATGGCAAAATATAAACTTTTGGAGCTCCCGTGCTTGTCTAAATTTTTTAAAATCTCTGATTTAAACAAATTGTCATTTATATCTTCCAAGGAACACATTACCTCTGCTACGTGAAAACCCATAAGATCTGCACTGTCAGATTTTATTATTATTGTGACAGATACTTTAGCATATAAATCTTAAACTAATGAAAAAAATGTCATCTTCCTTTTGGAGCTAAATGTTCAAAGTGCATCAACTATTCGATTTGATAGACATTTTTTGAGAAGGTTTGGAGGAATTGCATATTAAAAATACGTTGCATGTGAAACTCTTATCATTTATATCCACCTCCACAGTGGATAAACTAATTGTAAACCACTTTTGAGAACTAGACTTCCAAAGAAACCACACACACACACACACACACACACACACACACACACACACAAAAAAAAAAAAAAAAAAAAAACCCGAAAAAAAACCAAAAAACTTTTACCAGCAGGAGCAGAACTCTAGAAATGCCAAATGATATTTTTGTGACTTTCACAATATCCCAAGGAACTTCTTTTTATTTACTGGTTTAATATCAGAAGCAGAAGAGTCGTGTACAACCTTTCAGAGGAGAGGCAATGCTCTTACACAACTTTGAAGCCATCACAATGAAAACACATACAATGTGGTCAACTGAGCTAATGAATACTTTTGTCTTTGGTTGCCCTGTACACTTGGACATTCTTTAAGTGATAGAGACAATTATACATTCTCAAGACAAGGAAAAACCTAATGTAGTGTTTCTCAAAATGCCGTGTGCATGAGTTCAACTGAATGTCTGTTAAAATTGCAGAGTCTTAGGCCACATCTTGAGACATTCTGGTTCAGAAGGAGTGGATTCTAGTAGAGTCCCAACAAATAATTCTGATGTAGCTATTTCAAGGAAAACATGAGTAGAGAGTGATGCAGGATGTCCAGATTTCTCTATCTGATTAAATCATTGTAGTGATAGCCTGGAGTTCGGAAGTCATCTGAAATTAATTTGCAGTTGATTAAGACAACAAAGAATAAGAGAGTGCATATGTCTTTAATAAACATCTTCTCCTTGAAAAGCTTCTTTTAAAAAATGATTATTACAATTGTTTCCAAAAAGAAGAGTTGATCAAATTTAAATATCCATTGATCAACAATACACACTTTCAGTTGACAGCATCGTTTTCCTAAACGATTCCATCATATATGATAACAGGGTGTTAGGGTATTAAAGCGCTGAACCATTCATGCTCAGTGTCCAGTATGTCTCTTGTCATACATTACTCTGGATTTTAATTTCCATGGCCTTCGTGTCATTGTAAGTAGCACTTTTCTCTGTTTAGGGACAGGTCAAGCAGTTCTTTGATAAAGCAATAAATAGTGTAATTGTCTCCTCTAGAAAACTCATGGTATGTGTTTAGTTTCCTTAGGAAGGCCAAAGGTCACAAACCCATTCTCCTGATCTTCATTCAACACACACATAGAAGGAAGAGCATTTAGACCACAAATCCTCAGGAAGCTGAGAGCCATTTTTATTGTTTTAGTCATTCCTGGTCATTTTAGTACAGTGGAAAGTGTATGTTCTGATATTAATTGGATTACTTTACTCTAAGGTAAATGATTTTCACCGTGGAGACAACAATTTTGATCCTGAAACAGCACTATATTTAGCAGAATTTTGCACTGCCTTTCAAACAATGTTAGTCCATAGAAGTATCCCTCTAAAAAGTGGTTTTGTACTCATCTGGGAGGCTCTGCATACCATACTGATGCTTTCAAAGATTTATGCAAACCATTAATACATTAAAGGTCTGGAGTTGCCTTGGGAACTTCTCTAACATCATTTAACTCAATTTAACTCATCACTTCCCAGAGTAATTTGTCTACAGAGCCCCCTTTTCATTTGATATCTGTTGATTGCATACAACTACACATTATGCTGTATAACTTCTCTGTAGAACTCATGCGATATGTTCTGTTCCACTGGAATGCGAAGTCACAAGTCCCATATACTAGCCTTTGCTCAGGACATGCTCAAAACAGTGACCACTTGGACAAAAACAATGAAAGAAGATGGTAGACAATTTTATTTTTTTAATAACTCCAAGCCATGATAGTACCATGTAAATATAAGAAAGCTCTTTTTCAATTAATTTATTTATTTTGAAAGAGAGAGAGTGACAGACAGAGAAAGAGAGAGAGAAACGGAGGAGGAACACAGAGAGGGAGGCAAAGGGAGAGAATCCCAAGCAGGCTCTGAGCTCTACGCTGAGGTCAATATGGAGCTTGATCTCACAAAGGTAAGATCATGACCTCAGCCAAAATCAAGAGTGGGACACATAACCAATTGAGCCAACCAGGGGCCCCAAGAAAGTGGATTTTTGAAGAATTAGTTGCTTCACAATTTCTTTTTTTTTCTTACAAATAGTTTATTGTCAAGTTGGTTTCCATATAACACCCAGTGCTCATCCCCACAAGTGCCCTCCTCCATGCCCATCTCCCCCCTCCCCTCCACATCCATCAGTCCTCAGTTTGTTTCTCAGCATTCAAGAGTCTCTTCTTAAGGCGACAACTCTAACCCATCTTTGTTTCTCTGAAACATGGCAGGTCTCTTTCCAGGTGGTCCCTGTGTCCCTATTTTGCTTCCATATGAATCTACTTATAGATGCTACTACTAGTATCATATGTCTATTTAAATATTTTATTGTTTCCTCCCTGCATAAAAAAATAAAATTCTAATTCCTTGAAATTTCATGAAAACTCTTCATGACATCATCTCAACTTACTCTTCTAGTTTTATCACCTTTTATACGTCTACATTCATACTTCATTGCATCTGAAATGTCAGAGGTTCAAATATTCACTACCTAACTGGGCGCTTACAGGGTTATTATTCTAGATTTCTCCTTTTTAATAGGAATTGGTGTTTTTTTATCCTATTCTCTTCACCTGGTTGCACCCATAGAACTCAGGCCATTTATTTTCAGTGTGATTTTAATGATTTAGAAAAATTGTTTGGACTGTGGACAGGACCTTAAACTGGATCAATGGGTATTTTCCCTGGAGAATTTGAA